AAGGTTTTGTCACGTTAGAGTGCTTCTAAATCCCTCCATTGGGTTCCGGATTGATGGGTCTCCAAGCTACTGCACTTCTTTTCACTGGATAATTCAACATAAGTTTCCACTTTATGAACTCAGTGAAATAAAAATGATTTTTTTTAATCAGCAGGTTTTCCTGTATTTTGATTCCATTTTGTCCTTTTGCTGTTCAGTGAATCACTTTGTTAGCCTGAAGCTTCTGCAGGATATCGATCTCTAACGGCAACAGAAAACAGAAATAAGACCCTGAGCAGAAATGTTCATAATTGATGCTCAGTCTGATGTTGTTTAGGATGTTATTTTGTCTGTTGGTAGCGTTTTCCCCTCAGACGCATTGAGTCCAATCAGCTCTGCTCCCTGCAGGCACGCCCGGCCCGGTTCACCCTCCATGCAGTCGATCGGCTCTGTTCTGACTCAACATTTATTTATTTCCTGATATTTGTGGAGGAAACAGAAGCAGCTGCCGGCTGCCACGCCCTCCACCTGCGCCATCCTGCAGGATCTGCTCAGATTCTGGTGTTTTTGGATGCAAACCTGAGGATTCCTGAACAAAACATTTACATTTCCTCCTATGGAATTCCAGCTCTTATCGAAAAATAAATCAGAATAAAGTAAAGTTTTAGATCGTCAGCAAGAGAGTTAAAATCCACATCTTCTGGTGAAAAATACAGCGATGACAATTATTTGAGTAATCAATTATTTTCACAATTAATTGAATCAAAATTTTCCACATTCTGCTGAATTTTCATTCAAAATAAACGTGTGAAAATCTCATCATTTGATTTGGTGATTGGATTATGGATTAACTGATTAATAACAGAAAAGATGTTTAATGTTGCAGAATTTGAACTGAGTGAAGTTAAAACTGAGGAGTTCTGCTCAGAACATTTTTACAGAACAAAAAATGTTTTTATTCTTTTAAATGAAAAATGTCAGTTTAATTACTGTTGTTCTATCAGCAAATTGCTTATTTACTTCTCCATACTAAAGTCAATCCATTGCTAAATTAGTAAACGATTGTTTCAATCGTTGCTTAATCACAGCTAATTATTATGAATTCAAACATATTGATTTCTTTTTGGCTTTTCGTGGCAGCAGCTTTTTAAAGATTTGCATAACTCCGTGTATTTAATGCTCCTCTTTCTGCTCCAGGAGCAACGTGACGCTCAGTGGCGCCCCCTGCAGCTGGAGGTGGTCCATCAATCTGGACTCTTTATTTCTGCTTTTATGGCTCAAAGACCCGCCCGGAAAATGAGTTCATCATTTCTAAAAATCTAAATTCAGATTATATTTATGAAAAGATTGAAGTGAAAAATGTAACGAATTAAAATTGGAATCATTTGCATTAATTTATGATGTTAAAATGGACGATAAGCTCGTCATAAAAATGCAAAATATCAGCAAATTTTGAGGAAATTTTACATTTATTTTGTAGAAATGATCATAAATCTGTAATAAATTAGAAAAAATCTGTTATTTAGCACAACAACTAAACAGCAGCATTAAAGTAAATCATAAAACCTGAACACAAAGGTCGAATCTGCAGCAGCAGAATCGACCAGTGAACCCAGTCCGACCAGTGAACCCAGTCCGACCAGTGAACCCAGTCCGACCAGTGAACCCAGTCCGACCAGTACCACCAGGCACAGACCGCAGGGCTGAAAATGAGCGGCCAGCCGGAAAACCCGGCCTGATTCCGCATGCAGCTCAATGTGACCTGGAGGAGGACAAAACCTGACGCCGAACAGGATCCGACCGGAACCGGAGCAGAAAAATGAGATTTGACCTCAACTGAGCTGCTGCGGCTTTTTTCTGACCACATCTATGATTCATGAGCTTCTCCATCATTCATCCCTTCATCATCCATCCTCCATCCATTATCCATCCATCCTCCATCATCCCGCATGAAGGAGAAAAGCAGGTCGAACCCGCATCTCTCTGAAAATCCCGCACTCTCCTTAGCAACAGCGGGATCCGGGATCCATTTTCCTCCCGTTTATTTTAGGAAAACAATTTCACCTCAAAATGTCCGAATCAAATATTTGAACAAATCCGGTTCATGTCTGAACCGCCTCAGGGAGGAGAACCGAACCGAGCCCGACTGGACTGTTCCGAACCGAGACAGAGAAGGAGAGAAATGAAAGGATGAGGAGCGGTCTGTCCTTACCTCATGACTCCAAAACGAGCTGAAGATCAATGACGAAGAGGAGCAGAGCGACGAAGAGAAGGGATGAAGAAAGGGTGGAAAGGGAGGGGGGAGGTTAATCTGCTATTCACTCAAATAATCTGATAAATTTATGTCTAAATATCGCAAAGAAGCATAAAAATATCGTCGGATTTTTACAAAATCTGATCATTTTTGCCTTAAAACGTTTTAAACAACCTGCTGTTTTTTTTAGATCATTGTAATATCACTTCCCCACCGCCAGATGGAGCTAAAATGTTGCAGTCCGGCATTTAATAGTGCCACCTGGTGGCAGAAATGGTGAAACACACACTTCTGGAAAATGTTTATCTCTCATTAAAAATCAATTTTTTAAAAACTTGTTGGGTTTAATAATTGTTTTTGTTACTTTTTGGTTCTGATTTTTAAATTTCCTGTAACTTTCTCTCTGAATTTTTATTATTAATGTGTTGTAATTAATACTGTTTTCATGTCTGTGATAATCTTTCTTAGTTTCAAAATAACTATAATTTTCCTTTTGAATAGTTAAATATAAAATGGTTAATCTTACACTTAACGTCTATGTTAAAATACAATTTCAGTTGTTTTTTGATTTATAATATGTAATATGGACGTTATCGTGGACTATGGATCAATATTTAGCAGAAGTTTTCCTGTTTTTGTTTTCAGTTTCTCACATTATAGACTAAGGAATTAATTTTTCTGTCTTTTATGGCATTACATCCTTGAAATCGACATTTCTAATATGTCTTGTGCTTCATGCAAATGTAATTTTTAAACTTTAAACTGGACATTTTCTGACTGCTGTTCTTTAGCTCTTGTAGTTCTCCATTGTCACCAATAGAGGGCGACAGAGGATTCCAATAACCATCACGATCAATCATATGTTCATTTTTATGCAAAATTATTCTATTTAGTTGAATGATCTTTCAAAAATATGTAAATTATTAAACAAAATTTGTTTAAACTTATAACATTAGATTGTAGCACTTTAATACAAAAATTTATAAGAATTTTCCTTTTTTGTTATTAAAGTTTTTTTAATATAATTTTTACATATATGTATACAAACCTTCCTCACCCCCCACAAAACAAAAACCACAAATAAAACAAAACAACCAGGTCAGTGCATTTCAAATCAATACAAATTTCACTGAAAATTGGAATTGACAAAAATCATCGATGTCAGCAGAAACAACCACAGTAAACAGAAGTTTACAGTAAACAGTATTTTCCAGAACAGCAGTTCATTAAAGGGAGGAGTTCACTAGTCCCAGTATTGCAGCAAAGGAAATAGTTCCAGGATTTCTTGAAGTTTTCTATGTCTTTATTTACTTCTCATTGCTGCACCTTTGAAAACGTTGCCTTTGTTGTTGCTTGACATTTTGTTGGTAAATTGTTATTATCTGGCGTCTTAGAAAGACGTTTTGGTTTCGCGTGTCAGATGTATTACTACCTGGGTAAATTGAAAGGGAATATTCCAAATAATCGTTAAAGAAACTGTCGGTCTCCGGAGCGCGTAGCGCCGCCATCTTCCTCCACCATCCAACATGACTCCCAACAGTTTCCCTTTTTATTATTTGATTAATTTAGTGTCTGTTTGTGCGAACGTGGGAATCCTAAATAACAATAATAATTGCATTAATCCGTTCCTGTGTTTGTCGCCACCAGGGGGCGTATTTAATTTTGAGTTCTGAGTGTGATGGGGGATGGGGTTAAAGGTCAACCATGATTCTGGAGGCAACAGTTTTCTACTGTGCTTGGTTTGGATTGATGTCGAATTTATGTGGATCAGAATGGAAATAGTAAAACAATGGACATTGTTCTGATAATAGATGAATTGATCATAAGTCAAACTGAAGCATTATGGGAAACAGCAACCAGCAGCCTGGAATGAAGCATTTTAGCCGCTACAATAATGACAAATAAATAATAATAGAGATGAGCAGAACGTCGCTTAATTTAACCAAAATATCAGTTCATGTGAAACATCAGCTGTTTGTAAATTATTTGTTTAGAAAACAAAACTTTTAAATAAAATCTCTGATTCACGTGTTTCTTGATTTTGTTCTATTTTCTCTCCTGCTGACGTGTCTGGTGACGCTGCTGAGCTGAAGGTGTGAAGGAAAAATAGATTTTTGTCAAGAAAGAGGAGGATGGTGAAAGTGAGACTTCCGGTTGGCAGCAGCGCACAGCCTTCAAAATAAAAGTCCAGAACGCGCGACTCATTTATGGTGATTTATAGAACTTTTTTCCAGTTTATTTGAACTTTTAATCAAATTATTCTGTATCGTCAGAAAATGAGTCCTGTTTAAGTTCTTATCAACGATGTTATTTTAGGATCCAATTTTTTTTATTATGTTTTAATTTGTTGTATAAAACCCGAGTTCTCTTTAGTTACACTTTAGTTTTTTTGTTCCTGGCACACATGACTAATTACTATATTATTATAATAATAATAATAATAATAATAATAATAATAATAATAATAATAATAATAATAATAATGTACAATTTAAATCATGTAATTATAATATTATTATTTTATTAATACAACTGTTCTGTATTTCAATAATAATGATGTGGACTTTTTTGCACATTTATTTGATTTCTACTGTGTGATTAGACTTACTGTTGTCTTAAATGACTTTCTCATTCATTATTTTTGTGTCTATTTTTATTTTATCTTATTCTATTTCATACGTAACGTTAAAAAAGGCTTTTATTTTGGAAGTAAACCCAAAGAATCCCAGCCGAACTTATTTCTTGTGTTTTCCAGGGGAAGGAGGTGATGAAGCGGAGAGTAGGAGGAGGAAGAGGAGGGTTGGAGTGAAGCGACCAGCAGCGGGTCTGGCGGTGATGATGGTGATGATGGTGATGATGATGGTGGGGATGTGAGTCAGAAGGCGGAGGATCCGGGATGCTCACAGACTCTCCGAACCAACCGAACCCTTCAGACACGCACAGAGCCTAGAGGAGGAGAATCCCGCAGGATCCGGCGGTGACACGCAAGGTGAGTCCGCAACCATCACACCCACAGCGGCGGCCGCACCGACAGACACGCGCCCGAAATGCAGCCGCCATCCGCGGCCAGAGGGACGGACGGAGCTCCGCGGCCAGACTGAAACCGGCTCGGTGCCGAACGGGTTTCGTGCGTGTTTATGAAATGGGAGTGGGTGCACGTGTCCAGCTGTGCGCGTGCGCGTGCACGGTCTCCTTACTATGGCGCGCAGTCAGACGGATTAACATGATGTAAGGAGATAATGAGGCGGGTGAGCCGCAGCTGACTGAAACCGAGAACAAAGCAGCTGCTCTGTGTGTGTGTGTGTGTGTGTGTGTGTGTGTGTGTGTGTGTGCGTGTGTGTGTGTGTGTGTGTGTGTGTGTGCGTGTGTGTGTCTTTGTGTGTGTGTGTGTGAAGGCAACTGCAGTGACCGTGGAATACCTTCAGTTTCATTAATGTAAATAAAAATGCCTTTTTGTCAGTCATTCCGCGCCAATTACGTCACTGGACGTAAAGTGAAGATGAAAAATAAAAATATTAAGAATCTTCTTTGAAGCCTTTAGACATTATAATAAAAAAGAAACATTTTTCTGTGTAACAGAAAAGATAATGTTCTATTTTCAGTCTTGAAAAAATGTAGAACTTTCAAAAATTAATAGAAAAATGTGATTTTAAATGGGCGGCACCGTATTTAATATTATTGTGTCATCAAAAACAAGCCCCGCCTTGGAGTCAAAGCTCCTCCCCCACTCAGCTCCTTCAAACTAGCCAGCAGCAATTAGCTAAGCTCGTTTTCGGAGCTGCTTCTCAGAAGAACACTGGTAGAAAAAACTTAAAGGGTCAATATAGGAGTCATGTTGGGATGACTTCCTGGAGGCGGAGCTTCAGAAAAAACAGGAGGTTCTTAAAGAGACAGAGCCCCAATATTAAGATTTTACATTCCAAAGTCAAATTTATTTTCAGTCATATTTGTGACATAAATATCCAGTTTTACAGCAACTATTATTACTTGTTATGCCTGGAAAACACATGGCACTGCTCCTTTAAAGTCACATGAGATGAGCGCCTCGCTGTTACCTAGCAACCCAACCTGAGCTCCAGCATGTTAGGTCAGCTGGTATTCGTTGTACAACAGCTGCTGGAAAAGACAAAGCAATTTGTTGTTTA